CTTCATTTTTACTGTTCTACTCTTGTGTTCAATATATATTTTTTTGAGTTTGCCAAATTATTGGGGGGGCCCGGGCCCCCCCGGCCCCTCCCCACGCTACGGCACTGATTAAATGTAGCAACTTCTGGTACTTTAAAACTAGATGCAAGAAGAGAAGCTCAGCAAGCGCAATTTTAAGCGTGGAGCGAATACTTTAACCTGAAAGAAGTCCTACATGTAAAGCAAAGGTGTTCATTTTTCTTTTCCTTTAATTCTAAACTGAGCGGGTTCGGAGCGGGTCAAGTTAATAACTGTCTTGCTGCGTGGGTGATGTTTTTGTCTCCCGAAAGGTTATTAGAGGCTTCAGTGTTGGGGTTATTTTTGTTTGCTGTAATATAAATTATATAAATAATTTAACTTCAGGTGCTTTTAGAGCTACAGACCGAAGTAAAGCCATTAACAGTAAAAATGCTACCATGTACCTTTGGCACCCCCCTTAACTGAATAATAAAGTAAGCCTGAACAGCTTTCCTCTTCTTAGACTTTTGTACAATATGCCAGCATTTTTTTCGAGAATTTTGGTGCGATTTCCCGGAATTTTTTTTTGTTTTCAGAGAAAATGAAAATTAGAAATATTCAAATAGAAAATAAACTCTAAAAAGTCAAAATAAAAAAAATTCAAACGCCACTGGTTAGACAATTGTCTTTTGGTGTATTAATCCATTCTGTACATTCTAGTTGTTTTAACACTTATACTTATCATCATCGCATCATCGCGCATTTTAGTGAATTTTTTTAGGGTGAGCATGTTATTCGAGAAAATGGAGCATTAAGGTAAAGCATTTTAGCGAGGAAACAAAAAAAAGCTTTTTAAATGCACAAGATCCTGGCCCGGCTTCTCTTCAGGTTACTTATAACTGACACCTGTCATTCTTTAATAACTACTGAACCAGTGACAATGCTTCCAGCTTCACTCCGACACTGATCAACACGGCTGACACCCATGCCAAAATCAAGCACGGGGAATAGATTTTAAAACTACGACCTGACACTATTGCAGTGTCAAGCTCAGAAATTGTTTTCAAACTTGGCCAACGAACAGGGAATATTTATCTCTTGAGTGGTGGATTAGTAAATTCAGACAAAAAAATTCATAAAATGACACCAAACGGTTGACATCTGTCAATCAGTAGGATTCTAAATGGCTTCCCATGGCTTGAAAACACTATTTCACATTTTTTAAGGCTTTAAAGATACCTTTTTCGCACTTTTGAGAACATCACTTCCAGCTGCTAAGGTTTTTCGCGCTTTTCAGAACATCGCTTCCAACTGCAAAAAAGGTGCCTTTTTGTGCCTTTCATGAGATCGCTTGAAACAGAAAAAAAAGGTACCTCTTTTGCGCTTTAAAACATCGTTTGGTAAAGTGAGAAATGGATGAAGAGCGGACAATATTGACGTCAAGATATCATTCACTCGAAAGCTGCAAATACCTGACTTCTTTTTCAACAAAAGGAAGCTTTTCTCAACTTTTATCCTAAACGACAAGCATAGACAAAAAAAGGTAACAATTTTGCATTTTGTCCTACCGAAAATGAATGCAGAAACTTAGTTTTTCTGCTGGTTTTAACTAGCAGAGTTGACCTTTTTGTAAAAAAGTAGAATTGCCGGAATCTTTCACTGATTCAACCCCTTGTGAGTTTCTGGTTATACTTAAGGTGACTCGACCCAGTTTTTTGGGGGTGTACCATCCTACTTGGAAGCTCTCTGGTATCCCCACCTTTACTTTTATCGTAAGTCTAACACATAGAATGGATAACATATAGATCAATCTACAATATAACATAAAATTTTGGCGATCGGAGTAAATATCACGTGGTTATAATGCCACGCCCCTTTGAGGTCTGAGTCGAAAATCTGCTGTTGCCGGCATTTTTTCGTGAAAATCTCTCGGCTACACATAGTGCGCATTAGTGCCTTGCGCTGAACAGAGTTTCACCAAAATCGCAAAGACCCAATTCGAGAAATTCAGCGGTTTCCAAATTTAGGTCATAATTTATGCGAAAATGATAAGCAAACTTTACACGGATTATATCTAATA